ATTTTTGTTAATCCTTACACAGAGCCTGATGAAGAGGAAGAAGAGGCCAAAGCTGAGGAGAAAGCTGAGGATGAAGATAAGGTTTGTTATTAGATTCTTAAATTGGTCCTGGTGCGTATCTTACTCCCTCTTTTACAATAATAATGCAACTCATTTGTTGTTACTCTCAGGACAAGATTGGGTCTTGGTATAGCAATCCGACCACAGGAACAGTAGAATCTGGATCTGCCGGTGGTGGTGGTGTTGGGAAGTACTTGAAAGCAAGGAGTGCTCTACCTGAATCTGCTGCAGTTAATGCTGGTTCGACGGAGCTTGCTTCAACAAAGAAAAGGAAATTGGGAGTTTCCACAACAAACTACAATAATTTTTCTGCATGGTAATTGGTAAATGTCCCAAATGTTGTATTGTACCAAATGTAGATAATGTTTTGGATGAGCGAGTAGGAAGAACATTGTAATCTGTTCTTTTGAGGTATAAAAAGAGCAGATACAGTCTATGATTGTACTTCAAAGCAACAACAGAAGTTTTGAATTACAGGATTGACGTTGTTTAAATCATGAACACATCCATCAAAATTGAAATATTGTTTAAATCATTATTTATCAAACTAAGATTTTGGCCAAGGAGTTTTAACTCTCTCCCTTCCTCACTTTAGGTGTTCAATTGGAGCATTATCTACATCCGCACACACAGAGAGAGAGAGAGAGAGAGAGAGAGAGAGTACACCCGTCCAGGCAAGTGTTTCTCGTTCACTTGGGTGAAATGACATTGGCTAGTGTGTCCACTCCCTTACACCCAAATTAGAATCTTAAAAAGATTTCTCAAGTTCAAATTCTCCATTCTCAAAAAACCACTCATTACACCATCCCAGCTATGCTACAACAAATTACCTGCAACTAATATTACCAAAATGAAAATAAAAAAAACTAGCTAGAAGAACTAATTGATTTTAGGATATTAAAATATTGTTGAGAAGGTTGGTCTAATAATTAAGTACATGCATGCTGCTTCTCTACTGATGACAGCGGGCAGAAGCAGGGAACAAATCTCTGAATCACTACATGGAGCTCAAACAATATCTCCTTTTCAGAATTACGAATCCGTAAATTGATGATAAAAGTTGCAGAGCTCAAGATATATATTAGAACTTGAGAGAGAGAGAGAGAGAGAGAGAGAGAGAGAGAGAGAGAGAGAGAGAGAATGAAAAGCACTTGAATTCATCAAAGCATTTCTGCAATTTGATATCGTATTTCAAGCATCTAATCATCTACTGCATTTACAAATTGTGTTTTCACAACGGTATGTGAAAATAGAGATTGTGTTTGTTAATGCATAAATAACAAGTTAAGAGACTCAAAATTCTAAATAATTCTATACAAAATTAGTTATATTGGATAACATAGAGTACGTGTAATTAATTTGGACTCGACACGCAAGTAATCTTTTTTTCTTTTCGGTCACAACATTCATTTCTTTTCTTTGGCTATTTTGGGTGTTAGTTTTCATTAAGTTTTACATTTCTTCTAATAAAATAAATAAATGTCTACAAAACAACCAAAAAAATCATTTGCCGTGAACGTGACGAGACTAATCATGTAGTTAAATTACTACCCACATGACTTCATAATAATAATCAAACTGAATTTTGATAACAATTACGTACCCGACAAGTAGGGTCACTCAACATCATCAACAAAGAGAAGAAAAAGAATAATAATCTCTTAAAATATTTAGTTCCGAAGAATGAC